CGATTAATTAAGTCCCAATATTACGGACAAACAAAAAGATACCGTTTAAAGTAAAAAAGAAGATAAAAACACCCGACGTTCGTTAAAGAGAATTACGACGGATTGAACTATCTTCATAAGTGGTTTACAATATAAACAGTTTCCACCGCAATGCTCGGGGAGTTCTATTTAGTACATTATTTGGTTGGCTACTTGGGTTTTACAATACAATTATATTCTGAGTGATAGGAAAGCTTTCGTTTGTTTTGAAAGAATGGCATGCCTACCGACACCTTTAAATTTCATATGGGTGAAAATTTAATCGATTTCATAATGAAATTTGATTTCAAATAGTATTTTAAAATCTCTGGGCACAAAAAAGTATGCGAGCTTGGCAGTGCGAGACGCACAGCAACCATTATGCCGTGACCAGGATTCGAACCTGGGTTGTCGCGGCCACAACGCGAAGTACTAACCACTATACGATCACGGCCAGCGCGCTCACATGTTCTCCCGTCGTTCTGACATTTCTCATTTATACAAATCGGAAAAACATGAGCCAACTACACGTGTCTCTACAAGCAATACAATTTGTCGTGTTTTTAATTCATTTTATTCGCTTATTGTGTTGGCTTTCTCCATTCATTGTTTGTATTCCCATCTAATTCTTCTGAAAGCAAAACTTACTCGATGCTTCTTCTTCTGATTTCAATTACACTCGTAGCCCTTTAGACGTAAGGAAAAAATGTCTGTTTTTAAACAGCACACACTCCTCGCTGTTTCGTTAGAGTACCTTTAGTGTGTTTAAGATATTTGGCTGCAAATGATCAGCATAAACACATCAAGTAATTCTAAAGAACGCCGTTTGGATATAAAATTGAGTATTCACAGTAGGTATAATATAATCTTGTTTTTGTTTTCTTGTGATAAAAACAACACCTGGTTGAATGGAGTTTCACTTAATTTTTGGTGCAGTTCAATTGAATTACGTTATTAATCGAAGTAACTAACCGTTAGGTCCACCTCAAGTAGCTTGAAGGCTCTAATGTTTGTTAAGAAACACACGATGCAGAGTACTATTAAGGCCCTGCTATATTTTTTGAAGGAAAGCATTACCTACTAAAATATACATATAATAAAATGAAAACAAAAATGTTCCCATGCCGGGAATCGAACCCGGGCCGCCTGGGTGAAAGCCAGGAATCCTAACCACTAGACCACATGGTATTCTTGACACCCAGTAGCTTGCACAGTTGAAGACAGAAAACAACTTATTCTAGCTATGAGATCACCAAGCTACTGCGTTAACACCAACTCAGTGACTATATTCCTACTTCAGTCTTAAGAGCAAAACAAGTTGAAAAATGATTTTAAACGATTAATTAAGTCCCAGTATTACGGACAAACAAAAAGATACCGTTTAAAGTAAAAAAAAGAAGATAAAAACACCCGACGTTCGTTAAAGAGAATTACGACGGATTGAACTATCTTCATAAGTGGTTTACAATATAAACAGTTTCCACCGCAATGCTCGGGGAGTTCTATTTAGTACATTATTTGGTAGGCTACTTGGGTTTTACAATACAATTATATTCTGAGTGATAGGAAAGCTTTCGTTTGTTTTGAAAGAATTGCATGCCTACCGACACCTTAAAATTTCATATGGGTGATAATTTGATCGATTTCATTATGAAATTTGATTTCAAATAGTATTTTTAAATCTCTGGGACAAAAAAGTATGTGAGCTTGGCAGTGCGAGACGCACAGCAACCACTATGCCGTGTCCAGGATTCGAACCTGGGTTGTCGCGGCCACAACGCGAAGTACTAACCACTATACGATCACGGCCAGCGCGCTCACATGTTCTCCCGTCGTTCTGACATTTCTCATTTATACAAATCGGAAAAACATGAGCCAACTACACGTGTCTCTACAAGCAATACAATTTGTCGTGTTTTTAATTCATTTTATTCGCTTATTGTGTTGGCTTCCTCCATTCATTGTTTGTATTCCCATCTAATTCTTCTGAAAGCAAAACTTACTCGATGCTTCTTCTTCTGATTTCAATTACACTCGTAGCCCTTTAGACGTAAGGAAAAAATGTCTGTTTTTAAACAGCACACACTCCTCGCTGTTTCGTTAGAGTACCTTTAGTGTGTTTAAGATATTTGGCTGCAAATGATCAGCATAAACACATCAAGTAATTCTAAAGAACGCCGTTTGGATATAAAATTGAGTATTCACAGTAGGTATAATATAATCTTGTTTTTGTTTTCTTGTGATAAAAACAACACCTGGTTGAATGGAGTTTCACTTAATTTTTGGTGCAGTTCAATTGAATTACGTTATTAATCGAAGTAACTAACCGTTAGGTCCACCTCAAGTAGCTTGAAGGCTCTAATGTTTGTTAAGAAACACACGATGCAGAGTACTATTAAGGCCCTGCTATATTTTTTGAAGGAAAGCATTACCTACTAAAATATACATATAATAAAATGAAAACAAAAATGTTCCCATGCCGGGAATCGAACCCGGGCCGCCTGGGTGAAAGCCAGGAATCCTAACCACTAGACCACATGGGAATCTTGACACCCAGTAGCTTGCACAGTTGAAGACAGAAAACAACTTATTCTAGCTATGAGATCACCAAGCTACTGCGTTAACACCAACTCAGTGACTATATTCCTACTTCAGTCTTAAGAGCAAAACAAGTTGAAAAATGATTTTAAACGATTAATTAAGTCCCAATATTACGGACAAACAAAAAGATACCGTTTAAAGTAAAAAAGAAGATAAAAACACCCGACGTTCGTTAAAGAGAATTACGACGGATTGAACTATCTTCATAAGTGGTTTACAATATAAACAGTTTCCACCGCAATGCTCGGGGAGTTCTATTTAGTACATTATTTGGTTGGCTACTTGAGTTTTACAATACAATTATATTCTGAGTGATAGGAAAGCTTTCGTTTGTTTTGAAAGAATGGCATGCCTACCGACACCTTTAAATTTCATATGGGTGAAAATTTAATCGATTTCATAATGAAATTTGATTTCAAATAGTATTTTAAAATCTCTGGGCACAAAAAAGTATGTGAGCTTGGCAGTGCGAGACGCACAGCAACCATTATGCCGTGACCAGGATTCGAACCTGGGTTGTCGCGGCCACAACGCGAAGTACTAACCACTATACGATCACGGCCAGCGCGCTCACATGTTCTCCCGTCGTTCTGACATTTCTCATTTATACAAATCGGAAAAACATGAGCCAACTACACGTGTCTCTACAAGCAATACAATTTGTCGTGTTTTTAATTCATTTTATTCGCTTATTGTGTTGGCTTCCTCCATTCATTGTTTGTATTCCCATCTAATTCTTCTGAAAGCAAAACTTACTCGATGCTTCTTCTTCTGATTTCAATTACACTCGTAGCCCTTTAGACGTAAGGAAAAAATGTCTGTTTTTAAACAGCACACACTCCTCGCTGTTTCGTTAGAGTACCTTTAGTGTGTTTAAGATATTTGGCTGCAACTGATCAGCATAAACACATCAAGTAATTCTAAAGAACGCCGTTTGGATATAAAATTGAGTATTCACAGTAGGTATAATATAGTCTTGTTTTTGTTTTCTTGTGATAAAAACAACACCTGGTTGAATGGAGTTTCACTTAATTTTTGGAGCAGTTCAATTGAACTACGTTATTAATCGAAGTAACTAACCGTTAGGTCCACCTCAAGTAGCTTGAAGGCTCTAATGTTTGTTAAGAAACACACGATGCAGAGTACTATTAAGGCCGTGCTATATTTTTTGAAGGAAAGCATTACCTACTAAAATATACATATAATAAAATGAAAACAAAAATGTTCCCATGCCGGGAATCGAACCCGGGCCGCCTGGGTGAAAGCCAGGAATCCTAACCACTAGACCACATGGGAATCTTGACAACCAGTAGCTTGCACAGTTCAAGAGAGAAAACAACTTATTCTAGCTATGAGATCACCAAGCTACTGCGTTAACACCAACTGAGTGACTATATTCCTACTTCAGTCTTAAGAGCAAGACAAGTTGAAAAATGATTCTAAACAATTAATTAAGTCCCAATATTACGGAGAAACAAAAAGATACTGTTTAAAGTTAAAAAACAAAAAGAAGACAAAAACACCCGACGTTCGTTAAAGAGAATTACGACGGATTGAACTATCTTCATAAGTGGTTTACAATATAAACAGTTTCCACCGCAATGCGGTGGGAGTTCTATTTAGTACATTATTTGGTAGGCTACATGAGTTTTACAATAGAATTATATTCTGAGTGATAGGAAAGCTTTCGTTTGTTTTGAAAGAATTGCATGCCTACCGACACCTTTAAATTTCATATGGGTGATAATTTGATCGATTTCATAATGAAATTTGATTTCAAATAGTATTTTAAAAACTCTGGGCACAAAAATGTATGTGAGCTTGGCAGTGCGAGACGCACAGCAACCATTATGCCGTGACCAGGATTCGAACCTGGGTTGTCGCGGCAACAACGCGAAGTACTAACCACTATACGATCACGGCCAGCGCGCTCACATGTTCTCCCGTCGTTCTGACATTTCTCATTTATACAAATCGGAAAAACATGAGCCAACTACACGTGTCTCTACAAGCAATACAATTTGTAGTGTTTTAAATTCATTTTATTTGCTTATTGTGTTGGCTTTCTCCATTCATTGTTTGTATTCCCATCTAATTCTTCTGAAAGCAAAACTTACTCGATGCTTCTTCTTCTGATAAAGCTCAATTTACCATTTCTACTTATAGAAATATTAATTGAAATGGGTTCGTTTTCTTAGCACCGACGCCCCCGTACGTATTTGAATGACGATTGTTTCCCCTTTGGATTGATTTCTGCGTATAATCGTATAAATCATGAAAAAAAGTGAGTTTACGCTCACTGAGTGTTGACGGTAGTTGTGTAGAAATTCTTTGTGTACGGGAGTCCGATACCTCACTCAATGTGTTCATATGTGGACGTTTTATAAACAGTTCGAATACTGTGGCGGATTTAGCTTTCTAGATTCAAGAGCTGTTTATCTGTTCACGGCTGGTGCTAGTTTTGTTAAGGATTTCGTGCCTGTGGGTTGTTTTTTCCCCAAGTGTTATTCTGAAAGGAAGAATGCTGTATCTACATTTTTTTATCATCGCGGTTACGGCTAGAAATATTATAGGTAGCTATTCATAAAGTTAGTTTCAAAATCTCTGCGTGCTTTTCTTTGATGAGATAGGCCAACCTGATACTGTCCTATTCGCTGTAACCGTAATCCGAAGATTCCCAATAACGAAATAAAATGCCAGATCTACGAGAAAAACATGCGTGGCCTAACGGTAGAGCTAGACCACTAGAATGCTAACCCGAAAGTCTCGAGTTAGAATCCAGATTCAATTCAGTAGACCGTCCCTGAGTCCACCCAACTCTGATGGGTACCTGACTCACATTAGGGAATGTAAGGCAGTTGGGCATAGTGTTGACCATATTGTCTCTTCATATATGCCGAGGTTACAGAAACGGGTAAAATCTACTTCACTTGCCCAATTGACCGTCAAGTTCTATAAAGGAACTTATTACTAATTAACAATAACACTTTCTTACATCTACTTTAATCAGCAACATTGCACCTTCAAAATTGTTTAGGATTAGTCATTCTGTTGCCTATTTTTAATCCGTGTAAAACAATTTAAAATCTCGCTCTAAAAAGATGATGAGCCCTGCGATGTGGATTATTTCACGTGCATCAACGATGAGTGCATCCACCAGTCTTGGGTCTGCGATGGAGAACCTGACTGTCATTCAGGGGAGGATGAACTAGGGTGCAGTGGTAAGTAATTAGATCACAAAATAGACACCAACAAGACTATATAGTGATAAAACTAGATCGCACATCGAATGAACAGTAGGAAATAAAAAGCCTAATTATGAAGCGTAAAACTTTCTTCTCACTTTAGTATAGTAATTGAATTTAGGAGGAGGTGGGGGTGGTTATAAATATAAAATGTTACAGTAATTTTACCGCGAATTATGAATATGGATGTAATGGGGCATTAGAAAATTCCCCGCTGACATGTAGCAGGTCTTGCCTCATCTTCTACTGTCCTTCTCTAGGATTTCATTTGTTTAATCCAGGCAACTCTTTTGGGGGACTCGGCTTCCCACGCCCCCCGAACGAGATGGATTTTACATAGTAAATATACACCTCTACTAGTGTCCGACCCCCCCCCCCCCCCCGAGAAAAATGTTGACCGCCCCCCCCCCCCCAAACAAGTGCCCCCCCCCCCCCCGGAGAAAAAAAGTCTGGAAGAATCACTGATGATAGCTTACAATTCTACCGTTTGACCACAGGACACGCAGACGACTGCTAGAATCTAGACCAGGGGTTCCCAACCTTTTTTAACTCTAGAGCACACTCTAAAATATCGGTAGGGTGGCGGGCACCACCTATTTTAAACCGACAAACTCCTTCCAGAGGCGTAGCGACCATTCCCGTCACCCGGGGACAAAACTTTCGATTTGCACCCCCCCCCCCCCGCTCAAATTTTCGATTTGCACCCCCCGCTCAAATTTTCGATTTGCACCCCCCTCAAATTTTCTATTTCCACCCCCCCCCCCCCTCCCCCCTCAAACTTTCGATTTCCATCCCCTTCAACCTTTCAAAAATGTTTATTAAAAAAAATTCTGTCTCTGTCGAATAGTGAGAGGCGGGCACATACGAATCGTTCGGCGGGCGCCATGGCGCCCGCGGGCACGGGGTTGGGAACCCCTGATCTAGACTAAATATAGGCCTACTTTTGTTTAATTTACAGCGAAGTGTGAAGCTGGTTTCCATACATGCGCAAACAAGCACTGCGTCAACTCGAAGTTCAAGTGCGATGGCTTGGACGATTGTGGGGATTTTTCGGATGAAGTTTCGTGTGGTAAATTTTGTTTTTACTGTTGTGCCTTAATGTATTATAATGTTAATTTTGTAATGTAGCGATATAGCGCTGGTTATTCCGGAGCGGTACAGCAGTAAAAAACTGTAAAATCAATAGCGTAGTCTGTCACGCCGTTCCGGAAACCACCGGAAATACTGTAAACAATCATATTTTGCGCCATATTAATTTTAATACACAATGTTTAAATATTGTTTTGCTAATTATTTTGTATTTCTAATTATTTTAAGTGTACGTGCTAATTATAGATGCTACTAACATCGTTCTAGTAAATTACTACTCAAACGTTAGTAGGCCTTAATCTAACGGTTTTATTTTTCTAGATATAGATCTAGAATCTAGTTGAAGTGGTTGTCACAAATTTTATGCCTTATGCAAGTTTCTTTCTGTGTTTCTTAAAAACCATTAATTACTAGACTATACTATACACAATATTAATAATATTTAGATCTAGAATCTATTTGTTGCCAATTTTCTGTCAATTAAACTTTACATTAAGTTAAAACATCAATTTAATGCACTTGACTTAATTATTAATTATTTAATTGGTCAAATAAACTATCGTTTACAGTAACGAATGTAAACGAAACTCAACAAACATTACCGAATAATTTCCGACGCTATATATTGTGAGTTGCATAGCCCAGTAGTAGTCAAATGACTATAATAATGCACTGTACCACTCTACACCTGCACATAGTTAGGTATATATGTGAACAAGTAAACATGAGTTACTATAGACTTACTATTTCTGGCCTTTATTAGAAGTATATCATGTTAAGTGTAACTGTAATAGGTCTATATTTCCCTTTAAGTCAAGGAAGGCCCGGCTACAAAAAAAAAAAAAAAAACCTTCTTTTTACTATTCAATGGTTTAAACTACTTATTTTATATTAAACTAATATAGACACAGTGTCTATTTAGCTATGCATATTTCTGTATTACTATTTAACACATTACTTTCTAAGTTGCAGGAAACCAAACTGATATCCCCTTATGTAAACCTGGAGAGTTTAAATGTCTAGAACAGCCATCTTGTGTTGGCTTAGATGCAGTTTGTGATGAGGATGAAGACTGTATGGATGGCAGTGATGAAAAACATTGTAAGTTATGCAGGTTGACTTGAGTATCAATGAGTAGAGGTATACTTGGAGAATAGGATGTTAGGGTGGTTGGTACATAAAAGCACATCTCTTGGACAGTTGGTCAATAACACCACACCACTAGGTGGTTGGTCAATAACACCACACCACTAGGGTGGTTGGTCAATAACACCACATCACTAGGTGGTTGGTCAATAACACCACATCACTAGGTGGTTGGTGTTTAGCACCACATCACTAGGGTGGTTGGTCAATAACACCACATCACAGGGTGGTTGGTCAATAACACCACATCACTAGGTGGTTGGTCAATAACACCACATCACTAGGTGGTTGGTCAATAACACCGCATCACTAAGTGGTTGGTCATTAACACCACACCACTAGGGTGGTTGGTCAATAACACCACATCACTAGGTGGTTGGTCAATAACACCACTAGGGTGGTTGGTCAACACCATATCACTAGGGTGGTTGCTCAATAACACCACTAGGGTGGTTGCTCAATAACACCACTAAGGTGGTTGGTCAATAACACCACTTGGACGGTTGGTCAATAACACCACTAGGGTGGTTGGTCAATAACACCACACCACTTGGACGATTGGTCATTAACACCACACCACTTGGACGATTGGTCATTAACACCACACCACTTGGACGATTGGTCATTAACACCACACCACTTGGACGATTGGTCATTAACACCACACCACTTGGACGATTGGTCATTAACACCACACCACTAGACCTATGACACAAATGTAAAATACAACACATTATTGAAATTGAAATAAATAAATGAGAATCACATTTCATGGGAAATCTGTTGTCATTTTCTCTAAAGACTATTGCAAACCTTTTATTGTATGAAAGAAACAATGGAAATCTGTTTCTAAATAGTATTATTATAGTAAAAACAGGAATTAAAAATATATAAAACTGTTTAATAACACTGTTGTATACCATCCCATACCCATAAAAAAAAAATAAAATCATCAACCACCATCAATGGAATAATTAATACATTTCACTATAAATTTTGCTTTGAAAAATTTTCTTAAACATAATAGTTAAGGGATACAATATTTAAAGTCATGATAAAAAAATATTCATTTATTTTACAGGTAAAGTGTCTTGTAAAAGCAATGAATTTCTCTGTGATGAGGGGACTTACTGTATAAACAATGTCCATCTGTGTGATGGTGTAAGGGACTGTGTTGATGGGACGGATGAAAAGGATTGCAGTAAGTTGAATCACTTCTGATGAAAAGGACTGCAGTAAGTTGAATCACTTCTGTCCTTTTACATGAATGTGAGTTGTAAACTATTAGTTTAGGTCTAGTTTGTTGATACAAATGTATTAGCTAAACTGTCCCAAGTTCATTAACTGTTTATTTGCTCCTGTTATGTTTTATGTTTGACTTTGTAGGACCCACCTTAAAACAAAGTATTTTGGATACTCCTGCAAAGTGAATATTATTATTCAGACCAGGCATCACTACTCCCCCCCCCCCTCCCCAAACAAATTGTATAGAAAAATCTATACTTTTACCAGTGTTTGCCCCCACCCCCCACCCCCCCCCCCCCCCAAAAAAAATTTAAAATCTGGAAAAGTTAACTTTAAATCCTTCTACAAATACTATGAAATAGTAGATGTGCATTATATATCGAGTAGGCTATATATCTTTTTTATCTTTCACTTGAGTTTGACTTGGTTAATCTTGTAAGTTCCTAAGGAACAAAGGGCTGGAACTATGTTTGACTCCATTTTATTTAGGTTGTCTCTCTTTAGTTAGGACCATGTTAACTCACATCATAGGGTTAACTTCAAAGTTACATCAAAAGCTTGTATGTAAAATTGAGCCCACTTTCAGGAAACAAAACAAACTGTCATCAAAAGAATGCATTTACATGTGACGACCAGTCCGAGTGTGTGCCTGTCAATAAAGTATGTGACGGTGAAGTGGATTGTGTGGACGGCTCTGATGAAAAACACAATTGTTGTGAGTTTAGTGTTAGATTTTCTTATTCTGTTTTACTTATAGCCAAGAAACAAGCATTTACTGTAATATATACACGCCTATGTAAACATTTTATTATAGTACATGTGTAAGTATTAATTTTAATAAATACACCAGTTTATAAACTACTTTATTAAATAATTCACTTTTATAAATTATTTTAACCCATCAATCAATGACTAAAACATTTAAATAATATAACAATTTAAAAACATTAATGTTAATAGATTTATTCATTGTCATAACATATTCCTTTGTGGTCCCTGTGAAGCAACAAGCTCCAGCCACACCTCTCCACTGTTTTGGACAGCTCTCTTTATTTGTGCCCACTGGCTTAAGCCTGGCAGTCCTTGCCTCTTCTTCTACTGTTCTTCTGCAGGATTTTCTTGGCCGGCCTATTTTCCTCTCCACATATTGCATATAACAATTTATTAGCATTTATGTTAATACACATATTAGTCATTTTACTAGAAATACCCCTACTTAAAATTTGGCCTGTCATTATATAGCTGTCAGTTATTTGATAGACTTAGGGTTTATCTTACAGCTCTGCTATGTGACAGACTTAACTGTGAGCAAGGTTGCACTGTTGAACATGAAGAAGTTGGCTGTGTTTGCAGGAAGGGATTTACCCTTAATCCTGGAGATAACAAAACTTGTTTAGGTAATGGTAAACTTGGGTTTTCAAATATCCTTAGAAAATTTATTATAGAAATTTAAAAAAAAAAATTAATTTTCATGCCCAGTGGCTATTTATGTATAAAATAATTTTCTTTAGAAAATTAATATGCTAAAAATGGATTGCTAATTAAACATTTTTGTGACATCCTTTTTTTTTCTACATAAACCTGCAGACATTGATGAGTGTGTCGCACCCACTAGACCCTGTAGTCAGACTTGTCACAACAATATTGGCTCCTACCACTGCAGCTGTATCAGTGGGTATGAACTTACAAGAACAGGGAAATGTAAATCTTTAGGTAAGTACTTTTTACCTTACTTATTCTATAGGCAAACCTTTATGACATTTTTTTATAAAAACATTGAGACCAACCAAAAAGATCACTGAAAATTTACAACATCCAGAAAGGTTATTTTCAACTTAAAAAAAAACAATGTGGAATTATCATGCTTCACATTATATTTAAGGCTCCAAATAGGACACTGCTTTTAAGATTGCTTTGAAATTTCTCTTATGAATTGGATTTTTTGTTAGTTAAAATATACTCATTTAAATTCTAAGAAATTATTAAAACAAATAATGAATTTATTAAATCAAGTGTAGTTATCTTTATTGGACACATTACTCCCATTTAATTTTAAAAAATTAATTTATCTGTACAACTATGAGCTCAAAATATAGGATATAAGTCATAGTGATATACAAATTACATAACTGTAATCTAATAAAAAGTTTACCTCCACTTGTCTAGGAAAAGAGCCCATGTTGATTTACATGTCACATGATATGATCAGGTCATTCACCCTCAAATCACATTATCACGATGTGGTTGTTGATCATGTGAATACAGTCCATGCATTAGGTATGTTCAAAAGATTTATCCTCAACTCAAAGGAAAGCTCATTTTGAAGTTGATATTTTACAGTTTAGTTTGGCTCTTCAGAAATTATTTAAAGTTTATTTTTAAAGTTCAAGTTTAAAGTTTTAAGAAATATTATTGAAAAATTCTTTGCGACTTTTCCCTGTATTTTGAACCTGTTCACATCTATCCTAGCAATGGATGTAAGGAACCAAAGACTCTTCTGGTCAGAGACTGGGAAAGAACATCCTGGTATTTACTCAACTGACCCATACAGGCCAAGGGATTCTCGGACAGTGGTTATGTCACACGGTAAGTTGATTTTTGTTTAACTTCTCTTAGTGACTTTGAGTTACCTGTTGTGCTAAAACATCTGTCAACTGGGTGCTACAGCACACCTGTAAGTTTACTGGGTGCTAATGCAAACTCTTAGGTTGACTTAGTGCTGCATCACATCTGAAGGTATATTGGTTGCTTTAGCACACCTGTAGGTATATTGGTTGCTTTAGCACACCTGTAGGTCACCTGGGTACTTTAGCACACCTGTAGGCCACCTGGGTGCTTTAGCACATCTGTAGGCCACCTGGGTGCTTTAGCACACCTGTAGGCCACCTAGGTGCTTTAGCACACCTGTAGGCCACCTGGGTGCTTTAGCACACCTGTAGGTCACCTGGGTGCTTTAGCACACCTGTAGGTCACCTGGGTGCTTTAGCACACCTGTAGGTCACCTGGGTGCTTTAGCACACCTGTAGGTCACCTGGGTGCTTTAGCACACCTGTAGGTCACCTGGGTGCTTTAGCACACCTGTAGGTCACCTGGGTGCTTTAGCACACCTGTAGGTCACCTGGGTGCTTTAGCACACCTGTAGCTCACCTGGGTGCTTTAGCACACCTGTAGGTCACCTGGGTGCTTTAGCACACCTGTAGGTCACCTGGGTGCTTTAGCACTCCTGTACGTCACCTGGGTGCTTTAGCACACCTGTAGGTCACCTGGGTGCTTTAGCACACCTGTAGGTCACCTGGGTGCTTTAGCACACCTGTAGGTCACCTGGGTGCTTTAGCACACCTGTAGGTCACCTGGGTGCTTTAGCACACCTGTAGGTCACCTGGGTGCTTTAGCACACCTGTAGGTCACCTGGGTGCTTTAGCACACCTGTAGGTCACCTGGGTGCTTTAGCACACCTGTAGGTCACCTGGGTGCTTTAGCACACCTGTAGGTCACCTGGGTTCTACAGCTCAACAGCCTGTTGGTTTAGAATGCTACACTCTTAGATTTGAGTATTACAATACAGCTTTAAGGCCAAGTTATTAAAATATGCTTGTAGGTCCCAACACTACAAATCTATTTTAACGTTATCACACCCTGCATTAAAAAAAAGTTTGTCATATTTTTGTAGCATTTTCCTTAATTTGGATTGAGTTGTATCTTCTGTCATGTTTTTATGCTTGTTTATCTTTAATGTATAAGTTGTATGTTTTGTTGCAGCAATAGTCCTGTTATAGCTGCAACGGTTTATAAAAATGTGCTAAATTTTCTGATGAACATTAATTATTGCCCAAATGTTCTCTCACTGTTTCCTAGGGCCAATGCATCCTGGTGGTTTAGCCTTTGACCACATAGAGAAAAATCTCTACATCTCTGACACATTGCGACCTGCTATATTTGCCTGCAAACATGAGATTTCTGCTTGTGTTACAGTGTTCAACAGATCTGTTGTGACAAGTCCTACAGCTATCACATTGTATTCGGAGGAACGGTTAGAAAGTTTCTCTCATAATCTTTGAGCTTTGTGAATATAGCCAGATTGAATTCAGTAGCATTTTTAAGCAAAGGTGAGGGGTGCATATGGCACTGGGTGATGCCATGAATGTTACAACCAGTAAAAACAAAATTGTATAATATACAATTATAACAAGCATCCAGTTAAAATATAATGAAGAGGGGTGACACCAACTAAAAAGGCCAAATTGTTGGAGGGGGAATGTTGGACACATTCCATTACTGCACCTTGTGGCACCCAGCTTAATGAAGCCACTGGGAATATTTATTTTAATGGGATGACAAATATGCAAATGAAGTTTTAATTACATGTATTCTAATTAGCAAGCTTGACAAATTTCTAAACCTTGTTTTCTATTTTTCATACAAATGAAATTGTATAAGTTTATTGTTAAGCACCTAATCTTATTTGTGTATGTCCTTAGGTTAATGTATTGGGTTGAATCTGGCCATGTACCTGTGGTAATGAGAGGTAGTATGGACGGCAAATCTAGCACTACTTTCATGACATCCGGGCTAGTCTCCCCTTCCTCTCTGTTTTTTGACCTCACATCCAAGAGGCTCTTTTGGACTGATGACATTTTAAATGACATACAGTCCATTCGATTTGATGGAACAGATAGACAGGTAGGCTTAAACTAATCATAAATATGGTTTTAAGGTTAGTTGTAATAGTGTTATAAATAATAAAGTTGGAGAGCTGGCACATTTTGTAATCTGTTGTGATAACAAGAAAATGTACAGAAAAGGAAACAGTTGTATTTTTAAGTCTTATTTGATGTTCAGAAGTAAAAAATAAAAGATTACATCTTCATTATTTTATTCCTTTTTTATGAATAGAAGTAAGCATATTAATAGCACCATGTTTTAAATATATACTCTAATTACAATGAATTATAGGCTATCATTACTGTTTACATGTACCTTAATAGTATCATTTAGTCCATAAACCAGGAGTTAAGCAGCTATCTTTAATCTGGTTTTGATTTGTATAATCATCTCCCATGTATACTGCAGAATACATGCTTTTCATCAATATATTTACAAAATGCTTGTGTACTTTAAAAAACCTTTTCAGACTGTTGTACGCAGAAAGATCTCCACCCCTTCCTCTTTATTAATATTTGAGGACAGAGTGTTCTGGGCAAATGTTGGGACACATACAATCATGGCTGCCAACAAGTTCACAGGTCAAGAGGTCAAGGTCCTGATCAAAGCTTCACACCCTGGGGCTATGATCCTTTACCATTCCAGTTTACAACCAGACTATGGTAGGTTTTCTTTCAAGGCTTATAAGTGCTTGTCATCTTGACATTTGTATCAATTAACATACAGGTTTGGCAATCTTTTTACCAGGACAATACACTTAGGTTTTCTGGTAAATTCATAAATAGCTAGGAAGTCAAACCACATTACACTATCCCTGTACCTTTTTATCATGAATTTGGGCCAACTGTGTGGGGAAAAAAAACTGCATTTGTTACAATTATACTAACCTTACCCTTTCAATAACACTTTATACTTATTTCTATTTTAGATGTGACAGTTGTACACTTACATCTGGCTTAAAATAAGTTTTACAGGCCTTAACATTTTTAAAACCATTAAACATTGTTACCTAGTTTGTTGTAATGGACATGTGTTAGAAATTGTTCCTTAAAAAAACTAAATGCATAATTTTAAAAAACATGTTACTATTTTAGGTGGCACAGCCTGTTGGCATAAACACTGCAGTCACCTGTGTTTGAGTGGAGTAAATGGATCTGTCTCTTGTGCTTGTCCTGATGGGCACAGACTAGAAAACTCAACCTGCCACAGTAAGTGCCTTGCTCCACCTGTCACAGTAAGTGCCTTGCTCCACCTGTCACAGTAAGTGCCTTGCTCCACCTGTCACAGTAAGTGCCTTGCTCCACCTGTCACAGTAAGTGGCTTGCTCCACCTGTCACAGTAAGTGCCTTGCTCCACCTGTCACAGTAAGTGGCTTGCTCCACCTGCCACAGTAAGTGCCTTGCTCCACCTGCCACAGTAAGTGTCTTGCTCCACCTGTCACAGTAAGTGCCTTGCTCCACCTGTCACAGTAAGTGCCTTGCTCCACCTGTCACAGTAAGTGGCTTGCTCCACCTGTCACAGTAAGTGCCTTGCTCCACCTGTCACAGTAAGTGCCTTGCTCCACCTGTCACAGTAAGTGGCTTGCTCCACCTGTCACAGTAAGTGGCTTGCTCCACCTGTCACAGTGAGTGCCTTGCTCCACCTGTCACGGTAAGTGGCTTGCTCCACCTGTCACAGTAAGTGCCTTGCTCCACCTGTCACAGTAAGTGGCTTGCTCCACCTGTCACAGTGAGTGCCTTGCTCCACCTGTCACGGTAAGTGCCTTGCTCCACCTGTCACAGTAAGTGCCTTGCTCCACCTGTCACGGTGAGTGCCTTGCTCCACCTGTCACGGTAAGTGGCTTGCTCCACCTGTCACGGTAAGTGGCTTGCTCCACCTGTCACGGTAAGTGGCTTGCTCCACCTGTCACAGTAAGTGCCTTGCTCCACCTGTCACAGTAAGTGCCTTGCTCCACCTGTCACAGTAAGTGCCTTGCTCCACCTGTCACAGTAAGTGCCTTGCTCCACTTGATGTACCAGGCTACATAGTGTCAGCTTAATTTCCAAACGTAAATAGTGACAATGCTCTACATATTTTCTCTTGAAACAGAATTCTTAGTTTCACCACTCTGCATTTTTAACTTAATTAAAAACTACCTTTGTTTTTTGTAAACTGAGACATTGCCATCAAATTATAGCTGAATTTAAAAAAAAAAAACTCCAGAAGATTAAAAAACAACAAATCAACCTAACTTTTTCCAGAGATGAAGACCACACCCTTTCTTCTTGCTGCACAAAAAACTGAGATTATCTCCCTGCCACTGGTTGAGGCTGGAGAAGTGGAAGTGACCTCCCTTCACACATACTCCATGACCAATATCTACCTAACAGCTTACCTGTCTCAATCCCACCAAATTATCTACTCAGACATCACTGAAGGCCACACAAGCATCAAACTGTTGACCAGTTTGGACACGTATCCAGAGTAAGAAACTTTGTAGTTCTTGACATTTGATGTAGACCTGGTTATTTTTAACTTGGTAGATTCATAGCAACTCCATAGTTGGTTATGCTTTATTGAGGTATATTGCTTTACTTAGTCAATTTTTGTACATATCCATATCATCAATTGGGTAACTGAACAGCTAAGACAGCAATAACTATCAACTTTTTACTGTATTTAAATTAACAAGGGAAAATTACTGCATTTCAAGAATAAATGTTATAAAGCTTATTTTACAATAACTTAGTGTGCTAAGTCCATATGATGATAGTCCAAAACTGCATCAGTTTACTTTGACTGTAGGTCAGAAGAAATTCTCATGAACTTAGCAAGTGTGGAGAGTCTAGCTGTGGATGAGTCAGCTTCAGTTATTTACTGGTTAGATGAAGACAAGGTATTGCATTTCAATATTATTTTTTTTGCCTGTTTGAAATAGTACTAAACCCTCTAAGTTAAAGGGTTATCATTTTTTTCTAATTTTTTTTTTTATCATCTTTTTTTCATCTCTTGATATTCTTACTTTCTTCAAATAATTATTTAAATAGAGTGTTTATTATGTATTGATGATCTAATATTGACTTCATTTAAGGACATTGTTCAACTCACATCCTATGATGGAACTAAAAGAGCTACAATAAATATTGTAGGCATTCAACAGCTTTTAGCTATAGCTTTAGCCCCACAACATGGGTAAGTAGTTGTGTATTTAGAAATCAGATAGTTTATGATTAATAAAGTAAGTATAATGTTAAAATTGGACAGAATTACATTGTGTAGTTTATAATTTTTGGACAATTTTATGTTGTGTATCTTAATTTAAAAAAAAAAGAGAAAATTAAAAATAATAAGTGCCTTGTTTACATAAAGTAACAATATTAAAACTATTAAAAGAAAACAATACACAACCACCCGCCAGCAAGTAGGGACTACTAACAATACCCACAAATGTAAAAACATGCCACTCATACACAAGCTGCATACTTTTTCAAATAATGAAATGTGATGCCATCTAACATGCTTCCTCCACAAAACCAAAGCAGCCCCCTTAATTGGCCCAACCATAGCAACTAAATTTGACAAAAATTCTACTCTTACTTAATGTTCACTAACCAACATTCCAAAATGGCTACAGGACATTACCCCCCCCCCCCGTCAATTAATTGACAGTGGGGGGAGTAATGTCTGAGGGGAAATGTCTGTGGGGGTAATGCACTGTTCCCTCCAAAACACATACCTTTAAAAACAGTAAATGTGATTAAGGTAGAAACATGAAGCAGTGTATAACAAATCTCAATGAGTAGCAGTCACTGTATTCAAGTATAAAAACATACAAGGGCTATTTACCAACAGGGACACATAAAGCCTTTATGACTGAAAATGTCAACAATAAATAACCAAAGCTGCTATTTATTTCCCCAGGCTTCTGTTTGTATCAGCCCAGTCTGAACCCCCCCCCCCCCCCCAAGCTAATCTCTACCAGTACCTAACATGTTCCTAGCTCAGATATTTAAATCCTTAACATTTCCCCAGGCTTGTGTTTGTATCAGCCCAGTCTGAACCCCCCCCCCCCCCAAGCTAATCTCCACCAGTACCTAACATGTTCCTAGCTCAGATATTTAAATCCTTAACATTTCCCCAGGCTTCTGTTTGTATCAGCCCAGTCTGAACCCCCCAAGCTAATCAGGTGTCACCAAGACGGCCAGCACTGCTCTAGACTGGTCTCCACTGACCTGAGCTACCCCAGTTACCTGGTGGCTTACAGAGACAGGCTCTACTGGTCAGACTTCTTCTTGGGTGCCATTTCATCGGTTGACTTTCATGGGCGGGATAGGAAAACACATGCCATGTAAATAAATTGTATTATTATTATATGTTCATTATTATTTTGTAAAAAATTTACGTTTGCAGATAAGATGGTCATAATGCAAAGATTTAGAAATAATCTATTTCTGAATTACTAACCCGTTAGTCACGAGTTCGAATCCCGGTTCTAGTCGGAAGACCGTCCCTGAGTCCACCCAACTCTGATGGGTACCTAACTCACGTTAGGGAGATTAAAGGCATCTGGGCATAGTGCTGACCACACTATCTCTTTATATGCTGAGGTCACAGAAACAAGTAAACTCTACTTCACTTGCCCCATAGACCATCAGGTTTGAAAGGGAAACTTTTTTTTTACTATTTCTGTGACATTTGCATATATAGCAGTTAAGCTATAAGCCTTGCCATTTTTGCTTTCCCCAAGTGAAATAAGACATTTATCAGAGCTGATTGGACTGAGTGATATGGTAGGACCGGCCAGTGAGAGCTTGTAAAACAAACTCAAGAACTTGGGGCTACTAATAATGCTCTTCACTGCCTGACTACACTTTACTGTTGTATTATTTAAATGATTAAAATAGATTTGAGGAACAGAGTGGCCTTGCAGTATAGAGTTAGACTACTAACCGGCAAGTCTAAAGTTCAAATCTGGATTCAAATCAGTAGAATGCCCCCACCAGATTCCAACCAGCTCTGATGGGTACCTAACTCACATTAGGGAAACAAAGGTGACAGGGCATAGTGCTGATCACATTATCACCTTGCATGCCACGGTCATCATTTTAGATCAACTCTACTTCATCTGCCCCATGTGTTTAGGGCACAAACTGGAAAAGATGATGAAAATAGATTTGAAATATCAGTCATGAAGTTTAGTTAGTGAAAATTTAGAAATTCAGATTAACAAAGTGACATAAGATATATGAAATCTCTTGCTCCTTGGCATTATTATATTAAATAAGGCTGTGCACATTTTGTTTAACTACAGCACTTACATTTGTAAAGTAAAGTTTCCCTTTTAAACCTGACGGTCTATGGGGCAAGTGAAGTAGAGTTCGCTTGTTTCTGTGACCTTGGCATATGAAGAGATAGTGTGGTCAGCACTATGCCCAGCCGCCTTTACTTTCCCTAACGTGAGTTAGGTACCCATCAGAGTTGGATGGACTCAGGGACGGTCTACTGCCTTGAACCCAGGTTCGAACTCGAGACTTACGGGTTAAAAGTCCAGCTCTCTACCGCTAGAACACTCCGTCCCATTACTTACATTTATAGTTGTTACATTATCCAATGACTACTATACAACTGACTCCTGAGAAACTAGTTAGAACTGCACCACCACCTTTGTTGGTGAGTTACCTAACCACATCATTTGTATAAACCTTTTGTCCAGTACTAGAGGTAAACCACTGTCTATCGCGGTCCATGAAGACCTACTGTATTGGACAGAGCTGCAGGCTAGCTGTGTCTTCTATGTCAAACTGGGCGGGTCCTCCAGAGCCAGCAGATTAGAAACCTACAGATATCAGCTGACTGGCTTGGTTGTTGCTATACCCAACTCAGACTGTAAGTTCATTAGAACAGATTTTAACACGTTTTTATTAACTCAGCTTCGCGTGTGTTTGTTGTTAAAATTGACATTGAAAATTAGCCCACTTCTGATTGCTCTATAGATCTGAAATTTGGCATGTAGGTTACTTTCGCCTAACAATTTCAGATGCAATCATAAAAACTAGCAATTAGAGACCGTAATTAGCTTAATTTAATTACGCCCCAAGGGCCATAAAATTGAGGACATGATTTCTAAAGATACCGACAAGACTGGAGGCCTATTGACACAGTTACTTCGGCCCCAATCGATGTGAGCGCGCTGGCCGTGATCGCGTTGTGGCCGCGACAACCCAGGTTTGAATCCTGGTCGCTCAAGATTTTTAGTCCGTGTATTTATAAACACTTAGTCAAGTCATACTTAATCAAGTCATTAGATAAAGTAGAAAATAAACTATATAAACAACTTTTTTAAAAACCACGTTTTTCATGTGTAGCAACGGACTAAAAAGGAGAAAATAAAATACTTAAAAAAAACTTTTAAAAAACCACTTTTTTCTTGTGGACTAAAAAGTAGAAAATAAATTTTCATACATTTGATGACAAAAAACGTGGGTCGGGCAGATGGGTCGGGAAATTTGATGGTGAACGTACCCACGTTTTGTGTCATCAAATGTATGAAAATTTATTTTCTACTTTTTAGTCCACAAGAAAAACGTGGTTTTTTAAAAAGTATTTTATTATTTGTATTGCTTGGTAGTTATAATACCTGTTTAGCTTTGTTTACTATTATGGGTAATTTTAATGTTAGGTAAAATAACTTTAGAACCCAAGTGATAGTTTGTGAAATGAATTAATCTTTATTTACTGTGGCTCAAATTGAATATGATATTGACATACATCAGGAATATTTTTTTTTAAGGTATTGTATAGTATGGTAGCTAATCAGAGGCGTAGCGGGGGGGGGGGGGGTGCGGACCGCACCGGGTGACACCATTTAGGGGGGTGACACAAAGGCAAAAAACAGTAAAATATATAGAGAAAAATTTGAGGGGGGGTGCAAATCGAACATTTGTCCCCGGGAAGAGTCGCTTTGCCTCTGGGGGGGTGACACCATTAAGTGCCGCACCGGGTGACACCCAACCTCGCTACGCCACTGTAGCTAATGACATAAAGATGGTAAGCTGTTGAGAAATGGGCAGTTTTGTGGCAGACTTGTTACTGTGCAGCTGAATTAATCTGAAAGTGGTATTAGAAAATAATACATGTTAATTGTAGAGGGGGTCGTCAATAAATAACATCACACTTGTAGGGGAGGGGGTTCCGTAATTTTGTGACTGTGTGATGAGGGAAGTGTGACGTTACACTTTTGCATTATAAAAAAGCAATGATAGAAAACTAATTTTAGCCATTATTTTGCATTTTGGAAAACAGTTTTAATAAATTGTAATAGGAATTGATTAAAATACTCTATGTTGGCAGAGTTCAGACAAGATTTTGGAAAAATATTGTATTTTAAGAAATTCAACAGCAATTTTAATGGGGGGGGGGGGGGGGGGTAGGTTGAATGCTGAGGTGTGATGTCATTTTAGGGGGGGGGTCTGGCTTTTTGTGATGAAGGGGAGGGGGTGGAGGTAAAAAAAGTGACGTCATTTATGGATGATCCCTGGCCCCTAGTGATCATATATCCCTCTATTATAGATTACTGCTACCAATGACTAATTATATAATGTACATATGTTTCATGTTGAGAGTGGTACCACAAAGTCTCATCTGTAATTTTTTACATTTTGTTCACACAGTGAAGACCTCATGTTCTACAACAAATGGTGGCTGTGAACACATCTGTATCCCTACCCCATACAACGTAACTTGTGTATGTTCTCAGGGATTTGTTCTACAACACAACGGCAAGTCTTGCAAGAAAGGTCAGACATGATGCTGTCTAAATATATTCTTTCCTGTCTTTAAGTTGCTATTTTTTTATAAGCTTAAACTTTTATGTAGACAGACTAAGATCTAAAACTCTGTAAAATCTTTATTTAAAAAAAAATCTTTAGTTTATCAAAGTTTTGCAGGGTGAGGGTGTATATTGTATTATTTTTTGGGCATTTGACAGTTTAATTTAAACTAACAAATCCCTAACATTGTAGATTTTGTTTTAGAGATCCTCAAGTAACTATAAATAAAAGATTAGGCTTTTAACTTGGTCATCAAACTTATCTTATGTAGTTGAAGCTGCCCCGTGTACACAGCACCTGTGTGGAGATCACAGAACCTGCATATCTCAGAAGTCTTTGTGTGATAGGCTCATTGATTGCCCTGATGCATCTGATGAAGCTAACTGCTCAGGTAACATAAATCAATGTCTCATTAATTTTTTGATTACTCCTTAAGAATGTTTTTGTTGCTAGTCTCAATGTTAGAAACTTGTATGGATTGATTTAATTTTACAAGAAATTATGTTTAGATGAATGGACCTGTGCAAGCTTTTACTTCAGCTTTAAAATTAGTGGTTTACTTTTAGTATTCATGTTAGAAACTTATTTGATTGATACAATTTTATAAGAAATACATGAAATGAATCAATTTTGATTCATGGGGCTGTACAAGCATTGAATTTAGCTGTAAAATGATTTTTTAAATTATGCTTTTGGTCTCCATGTTAATTTCTTCTTACAATATAGAAGCTTTAAATTCAGCTGAAAAATTAGTGTTTGTTTTGCTTTTTGGTCTCCATGTTAGTAATTTCTATGGGCTGACATAATTTTACAAGATAGCTTTAAATTCAGCTGAAACAGTGTGTTGTATTTTGCTTTTTCTCTCCATGTTAGAAACATGTATGTGTTGATATAATGTTACAAGAAATGAATTACTGTTTAGATCACTTGAGCTGCACAAGCTATCAATTCAGCTGTAAAAATGGGCGCTGTATCAACAGACATTTCATGTGTGACAGAGACGATGACTGTGGGGACAGCAGTGACGAGCATGCCAGTATTTGTCCTGGTAAACATTTGCTTTCCATCTTTGTTTCACAATATTTATAACATGATAGCTTTGATGGTTTTCTTTAAATGCATCATTTTTAGATAAAAATGTGAAAACTAGTCATCCAACAAAAAATGGTTACATCTTTGGATGTTCTGCATTCAGTAAAGTTAGATTCTTATGGTCCCTAGGACAGATGCAGTAGATTACTTCTGTTACAGTACCTCACATATGAGGGAAAACTAGAGGCAGCACTATCCAGATTTAATTTTAATTTATATTTAATGTAAAAACTTTTTGCCCAGCATTTTGTTTTGGTTAATATTTTTTTTGTGAAAACAAAGAAGAAAAAAAACCAACTACCTAATGCTTATAAAGCTGTAGGCTTTAATTTGGCAGAACCCAAATCCTTACTAAGAATTAAATAAGAGTTGAGCAATAAATGTCAATTTAATTATAAATATAACTGAATGATGATTACATTTCATTATAAATTAACTTAACTATAATTGCATTTCATTATAAATTTAACTGAATTATGAACAGATTTCATTATGAATTTAACAAGACTATTAACAAATTCATTCACCCAGATTTGCACTGCTCCAGTGATGAGTTCACCTGTACAGACAAACACTGTATAGCTAAAGAACTTGTGTGCAACAAACAGCCAGACTGCCCAGATGGGAGTGATGAGCATCAGTGTGATGTACACTGCCAGGATGACGAGTATGAGTGTCAGTCTCAGTGTGTGGATGTTCACTGGCTGTGTGATGGGGACTGGGACTGTGCTGAGGGGGAAGATGAAATCAATTGCAGTAAGTTTTGTTTTGTCAGTAGATGAAATCAATTGCAGTAAGTTTGGTTTAGTCAGTACCTTTTATTTTATTTTTTTCATTAATGTAAACAAATATTTATAGAGCTGAAATTAAGTCAAACCCTGAGCTGAAATAAACCCAAAATATGAGTGGGTGTAAGTATCTCTAAATTGCTTGGATAAGTGTTAGAAAAACTCTAAATTGCTTAAAATTGGCTGGACAGTTTATAGAATTTCTAAATTGCCCAAAATTGCCTGGAGTTTCTAGAATCTCCAAATTGCCCAAAATTGGCTGAACAGTTTCTAGAATCTCTAAATTGCCCAAAATTGGCTGGACAGTTTCTAGAATCTCTAAATTGCCCAAAATTGGCTGGACAGTTTCTAGAATCCCTAAATTGCCCAAAATTGGCTGGACAGTTTCTAGAATCCCTAAATTGCCCAAAATTGGCTGGACAGTTTCTAGAATCCCTAAATTGCCCAAAATTGGCTGGACAGTTTCTAGAATCCCTAAATTGCCCAAAATTGGCTGGACAGTTTCTAAAAATCTCCAAATTGCCCAAAATTGGCTGGACAGTTTCTAGAATCTCTAAATTGCCCAAAATTGGCTGGACAGTTTCTAAAAATCTCCAAATTGCCCAAACTTGGCTGGACAGTTTCTAGAATCTCTAAATTACCTGCATACATCCCATGATAGCTATTCCCGTTAATAACACATTGTAATTATAAGCACATTTATTGAACAATTAAAAAAACTGATAATAAATAGCCCTCAACAAAAGAATGAACTTGTTATTGATCACAACAGGCAATATTAACAATATTTCACTGCTAATCAATAATGTACATACAATCTCAATTTTTTTTTCTTGCATACAATGTAAACTAATTTCCATGGTAAGATTTGTAGGGCCTACATACAATCTATTAAAGAAATGACCACTTATGAAAATCTTTTCAGCATCACTAGGATGTGATGTGGAAGAGTTCCAGTGTTTTGAATTTAAAGATTTGTAGGGCCTACATATAATCTATTAAAGAAATGACCATCCATTCAAATCTTTTCAGCATCACTAGGGTGTGATGTGGAAGAGTTCCAATGCTGGAATGGTTCTTGTATAGAGCACAGGTTGATCTGTGATGGAACACAACACTGCCAATCTGGAGAGGACGAATCTTATTGTAATAATAAAGGTCAGATATTTTAAACTGCTAGAAATAAATACAAAATACTACTAAATATCAAGCTGGACTTGCAATGTGTGTTGTAGAGCACATGTGTTGAGTTCTTAGTCTAAGAGTTTTTGCTAAGTGCTTATCATACAATGTTTATGATTACCTTGTTTTACTTATCACTTGTCAAAGAAATAAATAAACCACTACCTTTAAGTAAACAAAAATTAAGTCCATTTTTTCAAAAGCCATCCATATACCTCTTCGATGATTTGACAGTGCCTTTAAAAATTTAGTATTTAAATTTCTTGTACAAATTAATACAGAAATTAAATTAATACTGCGTTATTTGAAACTGGTCATGTTACTGCTTTTTAACCATGGAGTAGTAACTTATATCAAAATTCTATCAAGTAGTTTATTCCAAAAGTAGATAAAGATGATTATGCTATTGTTACTGTTCAGTATGAGTAGAACTTTTAAAATGCGTAAAACAAATAATGTAAAAGCACAAATGTTTGCATTGTGTTAGTTTCAGAGCATGCGGAGTACTGTGAGGATGGCTTTGTGTGTTCCACTGGAGAGTGTATAGAGCTGGGATGGGTTTGTGATGGTGCCAGTGACTGCAGGGATGGATCAGATGAAAGCTTTTGTAAAGGTGGGTTCAGGGTCATTCATGGAGTCATTTGATGGTACATTTGATGTTTTGGCTATTTGGAAGGTATTGTGTAATTGTTTCTACTTTTTTATGACAGCAATAGGCCTATAACTTAAGATTTTTCTCCAACTCTAGTCAATTGTAGGCCTACATCTAATTTAATTAATGAAAGTGTGCTATCATAAAATCCTTGAACTAACCTCTTGCATAAGTGTACACGCTTTGATTCCTAGATGGTACATATAGGGCCTACATTACACATCAGTCTACTACTTCCGACTTCTGTCAAATAACTTGTTCATATTGAATGAGGCTTTAGTTTCATACAAGACTTGTTAGCAATAATTAATTTCATGTTATTATGTTCAGTAACATGATAATTAATTTCTAGATGCTATTGATGCAATGACATGCCAATTATGTTGTCATTATGTGTAGTGACGAGCAAACTAATTTCTGGATGCTATTTATACAATGATATTCTAATTAATGCATGTCTTTGTTCAGTGACATGCAGGACCTTTAACCCCTGTAGCCAGCTATGTGTCAACACAAAGAAAGGTCCAACCTGCAAATGTAGGGAAGGTTTTTATCTGACCAAGGATGTTTTATGTGAAGGTAAGATTTCATCTGACCAAGGATAATTTATGTGAAGGTGGGTTAGAATGTTATCTGACAAAAGACATTTATGTGAATGTAAGTTTAGTTTCGAATCTTTTAAAGACTAAATTATCTGCTCCTAATAGCCATCAGTAATTCCACCCGGCTTTATGATTGTAAACAGCTCACCAGACTGGTGGGGTGTGGGTAGTAGCAATATGTTTTTTTGAGCATGCCTGGAGAGTGAGAGAAGGGGATGTTAGGCATGCGTCTACGCCTTGTCCCACATGGTCCCTCCATGAAGAGAATTATATATATAAATTACTAGACAGTGAATTTTACTAGAGTCAAGCATAGAATAATACACATTCAATAGATCCACTATCACTATCTGTTTTTGACCACCTGGGGTGTTGTGAAAATATAGTGTAAAATCCAATGTTTCCATCAGATATTGATGAGTGCAGTGAGAGAAATGGGGGTATAAAATCCAATGTTTCCATCAGATATTGATGAGTGCAGTGAGAGAAATGGGGGTATAAAATCCAATGTTTCCATCAGATATTGATGAGTGCAGTGAGAGAAATGGGGGTATAAAATCCAATGTTTCCATCAGATATTGATGAGTGCAGTGAGAGAAATGGGGGTATAAAATCCAATGTTTCCATCAGATATTGATGAGTGCAGTGAGAGAAATGGGGGTATAAAATCCAATGTTTCCATCAGATATTGATGAGTGCAGCGAGAGAAATGGGGGCTGCAGTCAACACTGTGAGAACACCAAAGGAAGTTTTCATTGTCTGTGTGAGGACCACTACCAGCTGGGGATCAATCTGAAGAGCTGCAAGGCTTCTGGTGAGTGCTGTAATCATACTGTGCACACATGAGTGAGATCTATTTGTAGATAATATTCTACAATCTAAACCTTGTAGGGGACGCAGTGGTCTAGCAGTAGAGCGCTAGACTGCTAACCCATAAGTCTTGAGTTCAAATCCGGGTTCAAAGTCAGTAGCCGTCCCTGAGTCCACCCAACTCTGATGGGTACCTAACTCATGTTAGGGAAAGTAAACGTGGCTGGGCATAGTGCTGACCACACTCTCTTCATATTCAGAGGTCACAGAAACAAGTGAACTCTACTTCACTTGCCCTATGGACTGTCAGGTTTGAAAAGGGAACTTTACTTTTACTTACTTTAAATCTTGTTCATATTTACTGTTGTAAAAATTATATTTAAATTTTTAAAAATTTACATGTGTTGACATAATTCATGTGAAAACCAATTAGGTCAAACGTATTAGGCTTTTTTTTTAATTTTCTATATTTTAAACTTGTTTCCTTTTTTAAGCACTAGATAACTGTTAATTATAAAATAAATTTAATTAAATCTTTAGGTTCTCGTCCTTCTTTATTTATTGGATCTTCAAATGGATTACACAATGTAACTTTAGACGGTAAAGGGGATGTTTTCTTAGAAACAAAATATCCCATCCGTCAATTTGATATTAACATACAATCTGGACATGTCTTCTGGGCAACACAAAAGGTAAATTAACAATTTTAGTTATTGTTTCTAATTTGAACTTATGACTGTTCTATTAAATCTTTTGAGAAAATTTGAAGAAACTATATGGCTTTTTTCTAATAAAAACAATTTTATCTTTAGGACAGGAGATCTAACATGACTTTTTATTCCTCCCTGGGGTTTGAGATGACTCTAGGGGAGATCACTGGCATCTCTGTTGATTGGCTGATAGGAAATGTTTACATTGCTCAGGTTGGTTCTTATCTATTTTTACTACATACATTCTAAATTGCCATTCAACATTTTTGTATGTACTTTAAACTGATTAGCAGTTAAATTTTTAGATAATCTGTACACTAATTAGAAGAGGTGTAAAGGACATTAAATAACTTCAATACGAATAGGCACCATGAATTTTTGTCCATTTATTCTTATGTACTATTGTACACCTCATTAACCACCTTTCCATATCCTAACAATCTGACAACCCCCCCCCCCCCCCATTATCTTTTATACCCGTGTTCAACTTTAGGATAGCAATACATAAACAATGGGCGAACTCAACTCACACCCGCACTATCCACTAAGTTCTAGAGTAATCTAATCTAACCTACAAATGAACAATAACAAGATGTACACTTTTTTCTTCATTATGACTCAAATAACACAACTTTCTAAAAGGCAACTTATCATAACTTTAATTGATAATTGATATAAAAATGTTAACTGCATTGGACACAGGTCTATGGTGGCGTGGGATCAATTCTTGTTTGCAATGGGAAAAATTCTTGTGCTACTCTGATCACCCGGCCTAACTTTAAACCTGCCTCACTAGTTCTACACCCCCATAGAGGGTAAGTTTCGTTTTAATAATAATATAGTTTTATACTATTTATTTATGAGCATCTATTAGTGTACTAACCTGAGGTAACATGTATTTTTTAAATCTCAGTAAAATGTTTTGGCTTTCGATGTCTGACGTCCCGAAAGTTGAGCAGAGCTGGATGGATGGAAGCTACCCACAAGCACTGCTGGTGATGTCACCCATGTCGAAACCAGTTTCTCTGACCATTGACCATGTCACTGAGCAGCTTTATTGGATGGACGGTGAACTTGGTGTTCTGGAGACATGTAGAGTGGATGGTACTAAAAGGTCAGTGGCTGGACTTTGTGGAGTGGATGGTACTAAAAGGTCAGTGACTGGACTTTGTGGAGTGGATGGTACTAAAAGGTCAGTGACTGGACTTTGTAGAGTGGATGGTACTAAAAGGTCAGTAGCTGGACTTTGTAGAGTGGATGGTACTAAAAGGTCAGTGACTGGACTTTGTGGAGTGGATGATACTAAAAGGTCAATGGCTGGACTGAGTGGATGGTACTAAAAGGTCAGTGGCTGGACTTTGTAGAGTGGATGGTACTAAAAGGTCAGTGGCTGGACTTTGTAGAGTGGATGGTACTAAAAGGTCAGTGGCTGGACTTTGTGGAGTGGATGGTACTAAAAGGTCAGTGGATGGACTTTGTAGAGTGGATGGTACTAAAAGGTCAGTGGCTGGACTTTGTAGAGTGGATGGTACTAAAAGGTCAGTGGCTGGACTTTGTAGAGTGGATGGTACTAAAAGGTCAGTGGCTGGACTTTGTAGAGTGGATGGTACTAAAAGGTCAGTGGCTGGACTTTGTGGAGTGGATGGTACTAAAAGGTCAGTGGCTGGACTTTGTGGATGGTACTAAAAGGTCAGTCACTGGACTTTGTAGAGTGGACGGTACTAAAAAGTCAGTGGCTGGACTGAGTGGTTGGTACTAAAAGGTCAGTGGCTGAACTTTGTGGATGGTACTAAAAGGTCAGTGGCTGAACTTTGTGGATGGTACTAAAAGGTCAGTGGCTGGACTTTGTGGATGGTACTAAAAGGTCAGTGGCTGGACTTTGTAGAGTGGATGGTACTAAAAGGTCAGTGGCTGGACTTTGTAGAGTGGATGGTACTAAAAGGTCAGTGGCTGGACTTTGTGGAGTGGATGGTACTAAAAGGTCAGTGGCTGGACTTTGTGGATGGTACTAAAAGGTCAGTCACTGGACTTTGTAGAGTGGACGGTACTAAAAAGTCAGTGGCTGGACTGAGTGGCTGGTACTAAAAGGTCAGTGGCTGAACTTTGTGGATGGTACTAAAAGGTCAGTGGCTGAACTTTGTGGATGGTACTAAAAGGTCAGTGGCTGTACTTTGTGGAGTGGATGGTACTAAAAGGTCAGTGGCTGGACTTTGTGGATGGTACTAAAAGGTCAGTGGCTGGACTGAGTGGATGGTACTAAAAGGTCAGTGGCTAGACTTTGTAGTGGATGGTACTAAAAGGTCAGTGGCTGAACTTTGTGGATGGTACTAAAAGGTCAGTGGCTGGACTTTGTGGATGGTACTAAAAGGTCAGTGGCTGGACTTTGTGGATGGTACTAAAAGGTCAGTGGCTGGACTTTGTGGATGGTACTAAAAGGTCAGTGGCTGGACTTTGTGGATGGTACTAAAAGGTCAGTGGCTGGACTGAGTGGATGGTACTAAAAGGTCAGTGGCTGGACTTTGTGGATGGTACTAAAAGGTCAGTGGCTGGACTTTGTAGAGTGGATGGTACTAAAAGGTCAGTGGCTGGACTTTGTGGATGGTACTAAAAGGTCAGTGGCTGGACTTTGTGGATGGTACTAAAAGGTCAGTCACTGGACTTTGTAGAGTGGACGGTACTAAAAAGTCAGTGGCTGGACTGAGTGGCTGGTACTAAAAGGTCAGTGGCTGTACTTTGTGGAGTGGATGGTACTAAAAGGTCAGTGGCTGGACTTTGTAGAGTGGATGGTACTAAAAGGTCAGTGGCTGGACTTTGTAGAGTGGATGGTACTAAAAGGTCAGTGGCTGGACTTTGTAGAGTGGATGGTACTAAAAGGTCAGTGGCTGGACTTTGTGGAGTGGATGGTACTAAAAGGTCAGTGGCTGGACTTTGTGGATGGTACTAAAAGGTCAGTCACTGGACTTTGTAGAGTGGACGGTACTAAAAAGTCAGTGGCTGGACTGAGTGGCTGGTACTAAAAGGTCAGTGGCTGAACTTTGTGGATGGTACTAAAAGGTCAGTGGCTGAACTTTGTGGATGGTACTAAAAGGTCAGTGGCTGTACTTTGTGGAGTGGATGGTACTAAAAGGTCAGTGGCTGGACTTTGTGGATGGTACTAAAAGGTCAGTGGCTGGACTGAGTGGATGGTACTAAAAGGTCAGTGGCTAGACTTTGTAGTGGATGGTACTAAAAGGTCAGTGGCTGAACTTTGTGGATGGTACTAAAAGGTCAGTGGCTGGACTTTGTGGATGGTACTAAAAGGTCAGTGGCTGGACTTTGTGGATGGTACTAAAAGGTCAGTGGCTGAACTTTGTAGAGTGGATGGTACTAAAAGGTCAGTGGCTGGACTTAGTAGAGTGGATGGTACTAAAAGGTCAGTGGCTGGACTTTGTGGATGGTACTAAAAGGTCAGTGGCAGGACTGAGTGGATGGTACTAAAAGGTCAGTAACTGGACTTTGTGGAGTGGATGGTACTAAAAGGTCAGTGGCTGGACTGAGTGGATGGTACTAAAAGGTCAGTGGCTGGACTTTGTAGAGTGGATGGTACTAAAAGGTCAGTGCATGGACTTTGTAGAGTGACTGGACTTTGTAGAGTGACTGGACTTTGTGGAGTGGATGGTACTAAAAGGTCAGTGGCTGGACTTTGTAGAGTGGATGGTACTAAAAGGTCAGTGGCTGGACTTAGTGGAGTGGATGGTAGATAAAGGTCAGTGGATGGTACTATTACTATTAGGCTCAAATAGTCACTTTACATCTGGAGTTATTTTGAGTAAGTCAAAAATATAAAGAGTTGATCTAGAATATCAATTTTGTAATCAGTTTTATTAACTACGTTTTGATATGTGCACACATATGATAGATGTTTCTGATAAACCTAATTTAAAAAACATAAAAATTTAGTGTTTTAAAAAAACCTAAACAGGTGCGCTGGTTGAGGTTTTCATCTACATTTTTGAAACCTCACAGTATTAACATAGCTATGGCCCTGTTTATCTTTAGTCAAGTTCCTATAAAGTTTATACCCTACCATTAAATAACTGTTGTTATTTTGATACATTATTTTTCTTCTATTTTTTTTACTACAAATGTTTCCACTGCACAGGTTTTCAGTATCAAGCCATTTACCTACACTAGTTTACAGACTGGATGTGTTTGAGAGCACTGTGTACCTTGCCAGCCAGGGAGAGAGTGTTGTGCACAGGATACCTGTATATCAGCAAGATGCTGCCCATAGCTCTATAAAACTCTCACATGTTGGACCATTAAAAGTTGTCCACAAATTAAAACAACCAGCTGGTAAGTAATAAATAAATCGAGGGAGTGAACTTTTCTAGAATGTTTTCAAGTTAATATTAAATAATTCATCTTTCTGATAGGTATTAGAAATTTCAGCTATGTTATTTGTAACACATTTAGCGTATGAAATGTTTAAAAAAAGTAGCTTGTAATTGGTTTAGATGAACTTTAAAACACCATGATTTAAAGCACCTGCCTCTAATATACACAATTTCTTTTCAAAATCGTTTGCATATTTTAAAAGTTTTTGGCTGAAAAGTGATTGCTGCTTTATATGAACTATTACTGTTAAGCCTATTCCAACAAACCCAAAAAATGTCATGTTTAATTTGATAACCAATATTTTTCTAGTTTAACACTTAAAGTTAATGAGATTACTTTGTATCACTGTGTGTTTGAGCCTACAAAATTGTATATACCCACAAATTTTGTTTTCACTAAGTGCATGTCCCATGAAATTATTTTATAAAGAGGCTCATGTATGCTTCAACTATTTTATTTTTAGGTACCAATGTATGCGCCAACAAAACCTGCATGTTTTTGTGTGTAAGAAGCCCTACTGGAGGAAGGTGCATTTGCAAAGATGGCTTTGGGAGTAAAACAAATACTCAATGCATAGGTACACATATAGCTTAAAGTCAAGAACTACTGGCATACATTTAATAGTAATGTGGTATTTGTATTAGTTTTAAACTATTAATTGACAAGTAGAGCTAGTTTTATATCACTTATGATTCCTGGATATGTTGCACTTAGCCCACTCCTCCGTACAATTTACTAACATTTTAAATATCTCAATTGTCTTCTGATTGAGCAGCTATTATTAAAATTTAATCCCTCATTCTTGTAAGAGTGGTCTGAATACTTGGACTGCAATCAAATTTAACCCTTCACCCTTGTGCCATTAAAACAGGTTCTCTGATGGAGACCAGTGTCCATGCTACTACCACCACCGGCACTGAGTGCTCACTTCTCTGTGAGAATGGAGGAGTTTGTCTGATTGATGAGGATGACATTGAATCTTGCAGGTCAGATTTTAAAGCTATTTCAATTTGAAATAAACCCACAACTCATTAATGTTGCTACGAGCCGTATTTAGATGTTTTATTTTCTACTTTTCAGTAATTCATAATTTGTGAATTCGACAGTACCAATGCTGCCACTGAAAATATTTGCTTCAAAACACTATCAGTAGGTCGTTAAGAACGATACCTCCTTTCCCCCAACCCCTACCCTACACCCCCCCCCCCGTGAAAGCATCCTCCTCTTAGTTACCTCCCCTTAGTTTACAATAGTTTCAAACTAAATTATCTGCCCCTAATGGCCGTCACTAAACCCGGCTCTATGAATGTAAACATTTAGCGTGAACCACAGCTCACCAGACCATGTGGGGGTGGGGTTAGTAGGGAGCGCGCTTACAGCTTGTTTTCTAGCGTCTCCCAGAAGAGAATTATATATATATAGATAGATTGTCACGATTCTAACTTACACAGTAATGCTGTATTACATTAAATTATGCATTGCAATCCTTAAGTCCACCAAACCCACCTCAATAAGTAAACATAGCTGTGCTAGGTTTTTAATTCACATTTTGGCCAGTGAATAGGATTTTTACTTCATCTACCCTATTCAAACACATCTTCATATGAAGAGGTCACAAAAACAGGTGAACTCTATCTGCCCCATGGATTGCCAGGTTCAAAAGAGTAACTTTACACCCTATTAAAAAATTGTATAAAATTATTTAAAAAGGATAATTTTCTTCAAAACTGATTTTTAAAAAAAAATAGATTGGTCATGATTTTGAGTTGTTTTAAATAATAAATTATCTTTTATTTTAGGTGTCCACAAGGGTACGGTGGAGTATTTTGTCAAAAGCTTCTGACCAAAGCTAGTACCACAATTGACACTGAATGCTCACTTCTCTGTGAGAATGGAGGACTTTGTCTGATTGATGAGGATGACATTGAATCTTGCAGGTCAGATTAATAAAACAACAATCAAAGCAAATTGAATTTGGAATAAAACTACTACTTAATAAAGTCTGCGCAATATTGACATACTACATTAACCATAGTCCAAATGGCTAGATTTACTATGTAGTAATAATGCTTAGTTTAGGCAATTCTTTCACTTTGTCATTTTGCTAATGACCGAAAATTCTACTTCATCTACCCTATTGAAAGCTGGCTGGAAATCAGAAAGGATAAATTCATAAACTGAGATTGAGAAAAACACATTTTTGAATAGGTTGGTTATTCATTTTTCAACCATTACTGAATCATTGGTTACAATTACAGGTGTCCAGAAGGATATGGAGGAATATTTTGTCAAAAGCTGCTGACCACAGGTTCAGACAAGAAACGTTCCCTAGCCTGGACAGCTGGCATTATTGTGCCACTCACTCTCCTGGTTGTAGCAGCTATTGCCATATTTTGTCTAAGACAAAGAAGGTAAAGCATCCTTCATTTAAATTTTTTAAAATTTCAATTACTATTGTAGGCCTATGTGGTTTTAACTATATACTACACATATTTAACTTATTAATGTGCATCAACCCATAAAAAAAATGTATTAACGTGTTTGCTACTCAAGTGTGTATAGTAGATTAGTACAGGAATGTGCAATATATGGCTTTTGATTTTTTTAATTCAATGAATTTTTAAAAGATTAAATAGATCATGCATTTTATCTGCATATATACATCATGCGTATGTATACAGATGTATAAAGAATAGTTTCCAAATGTTATGGTATATTATTATATTTAATCAAAGTAGTTAATATTGATGATGAGTTGTCAAGAAGTTTTTTTTTAAATGTATAATAGAGGACAAACACAGGACGTCCAAAAAACTATATCACTAGTTCTTGACTACATTCTAGAATGTAAGTACTATTAAAATGTATTGATCCACTCAACAGAAGTAATCAAAATGTTATAAGAACTATTTGGTTTGGAGATCCCAAATTTACACTAACCAAGAAAGATGACGAGGAAGAAATTGTCCCAGAATTGTCTTTCTCCAACCCAGAATTTCCAGATGAAGCCTTTGAGGTTTGAAATTTTATTTTCAACGAGGTTGGAAATTTAAAATTAATTTTTTTTTTTTTTTTTAATTTATAAAAAAAAATTTCATATGCATCTGTTCTATTGCAGAACAGCCCAAATGGCGACCCTGACTGGTGGAAAAAGCTCCTGGCCACTTCTTCAGTAAACAACATTCATGCCAGCAACATGAGAGTTGGTTCAAAGATGACAGACAAGGATGCCAGTTGATGTGAAATACAATAGTTAAATAAAAATGGAACTTTTGTTTTATGTCGTATGTGAATTACACATAGCAATGGGATGTCGCTAGATCTATATAATCTACTGTGTATTATTAAATTATTAACTAAACCTTCTGGTTTTTTTGTTTGTTAAAATCATGTAGTTGCTTATAATTCAAAAACTATCAAAATTAAAAATAATTTTTAGACAGATATTAACTTTAATAAAGTATATTTACAGAGACCCAAGGTATCTACAAATGTTTGAATGAAGCTTTAAGTGCTGTAGAAAATTTTTTTTTCATGAATAAATGGCAAGCAGCATTAATGCTTTATAAAGGAAAGCAAATTGGTTTGAATAATGGCAAAAAAAATGGTGCCCAAATGAAATTAACAGAAATTTATATTTATCAAACATTTGTTTTAGAATTAGATCACATGTTGGCATAAGTTGCCTAAGATTAAGAAAGCATTTAATAATTTAAAGTCTCCACGTTAGTTTTTTGTAAGTTGTGCATAAAAACCTAGAGTGGGAGAACAATTCTGCACCACTACTCCCCAGCATCCCTAAATTTTTTCAAGCCACCAGTTATGTCTTGTGAATTAAAATATATATAAAGCCGATTGGTTGCAATCATATTTTTTACAAGATGTTTTTTAAATTTGAAAATTTCAAAAAATATGGAAAAAGTGTTTAACAACGTCATCAAATAGTGCTTTTACATAAATTTCCAGTTAAACCGGCACTGTATTGAACATTGCTTTTGAAGCTGTTGCATCAAAAAGCTTTCAGTAAAATGCAGCTTTATAAATTAGATTGTATAAGGCCACATCTGGCTAATGACTCTGCATTGATCACTCCCTGCATTCTTGCTAATCCTGGCACATGCACTAATTATATTATATATAAAAGTAGATGCAACATCATGACCTGATGCTGCATTAAGCATGAGCAGTTTAATATTCACACGCTTGCAGGATAAATGAACTATTGTGTCGTAGCCTGTGTCAAGTTTAATTGTGGACACATATTACTTATGAACACAGACATCACAAACAGCAGTTACCGAGTACCAAGACCATCAGAGTAAACAAATGCAAAAAGTCAGATCCAATTATCATAAATATTCTGTATTGTCACAAAGAGTTAAGGAAACTTGTTACATGTACAATAAATGAACTGTATACAGTCACAACTAAAATGAAACTAGTATTATGACCATCATTAAGGTTCATTATTAATAAAAAAAATGTATGAAAATTGTTTGCTTCAAGAACTTTTAATGCAAATGGTACTGGGTCTGCCAGCATCATAAGAAAAAATTTTTTAAGTAGCCTATTAACAAATTATCATAACAAGTCATTTATCAGCTTAAACTACAAAATAGTCTCAAGTCATCTACATAATGTAATATTACATGATACAGCTTTAAATTAAAATAGATCTAGCAGCTAACTAAATGAACAATTAGATCTAGGTCTCTTATTTAATTTTGTCAGCCAATTTTTAATATAAAATAATATTATAATATAGTAAACAAAATGTAATTTTACTCATTAACATGCTGGTGTTGGATGAAAAAGTTCTGGGGTTCTATTTATTATTTTTTAGACATGACATCATAAGGCTGAGGATCTCTTAAGTACTTGGGATCTTTCAAAATTATTGGCATGTAACCAGATAATCTGGAACGTTTAATTGAACGAGCTACATGTTTTTGCATAGGTATGCACAATCCCGTAATAGCACGACCATAAATGCGGCCTGTAAATGGTGAAACAAATTGGCTCAACAGCCGCACATTTTTATGATCAATTTTTATACCAAATGTACACAAATTGCAGCGTTTATAATCTTTTGAAAATGGATCCTGAATTTCTCCGAGAGGCATATCATCTTTCATTTTGCTCATCAACGTTTCAACTAAAACTGGATCAAAAGTCTTATTACATGTTGGAGTGGTCTGCTTTTTATATTCAAAACGTGGACGTCTGTTTCTTGATCTGATTTTTTTTAAATTGTAGGATTCATCGATAATCTTTGAGGTCGAGCTGAGTGTCGACTCAGAAGAGTCAGAAATGAAGCGAAGGTGAGTTAAAGAATAGCAAGGTTTGACGTTAATTGTCTCAAAAACTGAACGATGAATAGTTCCTTGTGGTCTTAAGCTTGTAACACAGTTGCTTATAAATCTTGAAATATGAAGAGGGTAGCCTGTAATATGTCCCAGTGACATTTTAGATCCTAGGACACGGACATGCTGAAGAGCTGCCATTTTCAAACAGGAAATAGATGCTACCGGTAATACTAAAATACGTTAAATATCGAAATGAGCTAAACACACGTATCTTCCTAAACTAGATCCTTGAACTTACATTTTTTTACTTACAAGTTAACTGCCACGATTGTAAAGAAAACACAGTAGATCTAAATTCTTTAAATTTTAGAAAATCTTTTTTTTTGTGATGTTTGCTCAAAAGATAAGTTTTAATAAAACAAATATAAAAATAACTTTATGATAATTAGCTTTTAAATGCGCTGAAAATATGAAATCAAAACAAGCTCACTTTCTTTAATAAAAGCTTTGGTCGCTAAAATGTGTAAGTGATCGCATAATAATAGTCAAATGCTTACCTTTTTTTAAGTTTCAGTGTATTCAAAAGCTTGTTGCTGTAAAGGTCTTTAAATATTTGTTTTATTTTCAACTTTTTACTAATTCGTTCTATATCTATACTTACTATGTAGTCTAGAATATGTCTAAATATTTGCGTTAAAACCCGATAAATAGCTTCAATCTCTACAAGACAATGTCCCTTACTTTTCTTAGTTTATTGTCGACTCTCTGGCAAAAAGCAATATGTCGTGAAGAAAAAACTGTCGTCAGATTGCTAATCGAGCTATCACTGGTGAAAAAAAAACCTTGTTCCCTCCATTTCTTTATTCAATGCAGTAATTTTCAAATTTAATTTTAATGTCTAATTTAATTTCTAATCGGAATAAAATAGGTTTTCTTGCATAATCTTTGTTTAAAATTTGAATAAAATCACTGAATTAGTAGTGGTTTAACATAAAGAACGTTATCCAGCACATTTTGTTAATTAACAACGCAACTAGATTTTTGTTGCTAAAACGTTTCGTTTCTCACAATATCACAGTTTCTTTTATGGCTATCAGACAGGTACAGAGGCGTAGCGAAGGGGGGGGGGGGGGCGGGGGGACGACGACATATGTCCCCGGGCGTCGACCTTAGGGGGGGGGGGCACCAAATTGAAAGTTTCACGGGGGGGGGGGGTGGTTCGAGGGGGTGCGAATCGAAAGTTTGGGGGAGGGGTGCAAATGAAAACTTCGGGGGGGGGGGGGGTGCAAATCGAAAGCTTGTCCCCGGGCGCCGGGAAAGGTCGCTACGCCTCTGGACAGGTAATACAGCATACGGTCGGAGCTTGCGGGTGGACGGTGATATACTGTTTCGCCAAAAAATATCAGTCTATCTATAATTAACGTAACCTAATAAACCTTTTTACTAAAATTTGTAAGCTTTATCATGATTATATATATATATATATATATATATATATATATATATATATATATATATATATATATATATATATATACATATATATATACATATATATATATATATATACATATATATACATATATATATATATATATATATATATATATATATATATATATATATATATATATATATATATATATATATATATATATATATATATATATTGAAAATTCGCCCTTCGTTAGCTACGTTTATTGACTGCTATTAATTTTATTAATTTAACCCTTAAATGCATGACTTTTTTACTTTCTCGTATATACGAAGTATAGAGAAAGTCTTGTAATCGTGCAAAAAAAAAAATCGAGATTTATACAAATCTCGACGTTTTACACCTCACTGATACGGAAAAACATAATTTTGCAATCTTGTCCGTATGTCTGTGTGTCTGTCTGTCTGTCTGTCTGTCCGTGTGTAAACACGATAACCTGAGTACAGTTACAGCTAGGTTGATGAAATGTCATATATAAGTATTTTATCAAAATCGTAGATCCGTATCAACTTTTGAGCGATTTCCGACAACCGGAAGTGGTACTTTTCCTACTTTGAATTTTTCAAAAGCCTATAACTTGAGTACTATTTTAGATAGATAAATGAAATTTCACATGTACACATGTAAGTAAAGGATCTAATTTTCTACCTTCTGTTAAATTTTGAGTAATTTCCGTTGACCGAAAGTAGTGTGACCTACTTAGGTCGAGTCATTTTTATTTTGACATTGTATAATTCCTTATATGGAATGATGGTGTAACACCTGGGGTTTTTCCACTGACTTATTAAGGTGTTTGAGACATAGAAATTTTCCATTAAAATCTGATTGAATGATTCTGATCAGATGATTATCCCAACCAATGGCGACATGAGTTGAGGATAACCTCCCCTGTCACAGAAGTCTTTAATTGCACTGCACACGCGCAACACGAGGCAGTTTATCTTGACCTGGCAGTCTACGAGGCAGTTTTATCTTGGTCAGGCAGCCGTCCATATTGTCCGGCTATAGACTCTGACCATTTGAACGTGAGAGTACTTAAGACCTGTGTGTGCCTTGCTTTCTTAAGTGATTTAGTCTTCTAGTTTAATATTACTTGTCGCTAAGTAATTCCTGAAGCTACAACAGTGTTGTGTGGCCTGTGGCTATTATTAGACAGTGTAGAAATCTGTGATAGTGTTTTTTCCTGCATTTTGTAAGTTGGGTTTTTGATATTTTATACATTAAATATTTTACTTAGTTCAACCTTGTGTTCTGCCACTTCTGAGTTCGCTGATTAAAAGGTCGTATGTAGATTGGATGAGTGTTAATTACAATAGTATCACTAGCTTCCCTAGACATTAAATCCGAGCCCTAGTGGGTCGTTGTGTTAAGTGTTCATCCACTTAGGCCGTAAGGCATTTGCATATGACCCCGAAAAAAGAATCCGGGGACGTTCTCCTTCTATTTGGCTGATAGATAGGTTAACGTTACAAAGTGGGGTCTCGCCGAGATTTAATCTGTCGTTCCAGTTGTTGGTTATATCAGTTGGATACTAAGGTTAGTTGGATTTAGTTGTTTTTATATCCAGTAGCGCAGTGTTCTTACAACGCGCGCTCAGGCTAGAGTATCTAGGT